AAGGGTAGTTGCAACATCTATTGCATCTCCCCATTATCATCATCAAGCGTCCAGTACTCCCAGTTCTAGAGTGACTAAAACCATGATAAGAGTCACAATAACGTGGCGGAAGATATGACGACCAGGGGCCAGATTCACGAAAGCATCTACGCAAACACTTACGAACCTGTACATCTTTTCTCAATTTTTGCCGGCTTTGTTTACAATTATTAAACAGTTAATGATCTCCGAAGCACCAGGAGGCTGTTTATAACAATAACAACAGTTGAATGGGAAGTTTTCATGCTTGTAAACTGTTTAATAAATGTAACCAAAGCCGTCAGAGATTGAGGAAAGATGTACACGTTCGTAAGTGCTTTCGTGAATCTGGCCCCAGACCACACACAAGATGTGCAGACGACGACGTTTGGCTCCGTCCTGGACCATTATCAAGTGGTGTGTGATGGGAGCGAAGGAGGAACCCATAAGTAAGGCAAGAGAGACGAGGAGCAGGCGAGAGGTAATTCCTAGAAGGAAAGAGCAAGACGAAACTCTTAAGAACAAGAAGCAAAACGGGATACGGATGGGATGGTGGAAGAAAGGGAATGTAAGAATAAGAAAAATATAAGGGGGTATCTTCTTGAGGTTATCTTGAGATGATTTCGGGGCTTTATTGTCCCCGCGGCCCGGTCCTCGACCAGGCCTCCACCCCCAGGAAGCAGCCCGTGACAGCTGACTAACTCCCAGGTACCTATTTACTGTTAGGTAACAGGGGCATTCAGGGTGAAAGAAACTTTGCCCATTTGTTTCTGATTCGTGCGGGAATCGAACCCGCACCACAGAATTACGAGTCCTGCGCGCTATCCACCAGGCTACGAGGGTAAGCTTATGTCAGATCACGTTTGTTAAAAAGGTTAAGAGAATATGAGCATGTACTGTGAAAGGGAAGAGTCAACAGCAAAATAACCAGGATTAAGGTTCATGTTGGGTATATTGTGTATCACAGCCGATTCGACAAGACGGCGTCTGAAGAGTAGAGGCAGGAAAGATTTTAGAAGACCAATCAATAGGATGATTATAGTTCCTAACGTGACATTAGAGCATTGTTTGTGTCTGCAGACTTAACACTTCTTGTGTGTTCAAGTATCATTTAGTATACGGCCAGTTATCCCCAAAATATTGGAAGAGGACAAGATGAGCAGGAAATAGTAGACACCAGCAGGAGCAGCAGTGTGAACTAGATTACTACGAAGAGTTATTATGTCGGAAGGCGAGCTTTATGTCACGAGGACGAAGGGTATTAGCCAGATTTGAGTTCAGATATAAAGGGAAGGCAAAGCACAGAGGTACTAGTGTTGAAAATAGGTTTGGGATGAAAAATTTCGTTTAGCTAGAAAATAGGCACAATTGATACAATGTAAGGTAATCAAGGCAAGAGATTTGCAAATAAAGGAAAATTTCAGAATCAAGAAACTGAGTGTGACTGATACGTAGAGCGCGGAGGAAGAGAGACGAGATCAGTTTTCTTAACAGGAGGAGGAAGGTAAGAATAGAAGTGAAGGTACATACCACTATGCATGGACTAAAACCATGGTAGTTGCCCGTGTGGTTACAGCTAATCATAAAACAAAGGGTGACAGCCTGTCCCTCAGGTAATAAGGAAGCAAGTACAACAGTTCTGAAGACTCTAATGTCAATTAGCAAATTATTCTCCCCCTCCCCCCTTTCCCCTGTAACAGTGGTGGCAGCCGTGGGATTGAGGAGGGGCAAGGAGCAAGAGGAAAGAAAATATTAAGACGAAGAGGAAGCAGATGGAAAAAGTATAACAGCATTGCATAGTGCAGGGATTTTTAGCAATTACAAAAATAACCATTTCATATAAAAATGTTGGAGACGTACCTAATGATTGTAACTCCCCAGTGTAGAAGGGACCAATTGCTTACCATATGTGCAGAAGGGACCAAAATGAGGGAGGACATAGACGAGGATGAAGAAAGATGAATAATGAAGAGGGAGAGAGTTGATTGAAGGAGCCGCGAAACCGGTCCTGACTTAAGAGTCAAGAGGTCAGAGGCGGGCGAGGAAAGAGTAGAGAGGGAGAGTCCAACCTTCTTCGGCTTAGCTGATGAAAGCTGATGCAGAGTTGTATATCTGGGAGGAGACACTCCAGCCAGGTAAACTTGTCTCATTAACGTTACACACACTGTACATGTGTGTGTGTGTGTGTGTGTGTGTGTGTGTGTGTGTGTGTGTCAAGGACGAGATGCAAGTGTCTAACTAGATCCCGGATAAGCTACTGTCCGTCTGTCAACGCCCGGAACACTCACACACATCCCAACTTGGATACTGAAAACGGTAATCTCAAAAAGGATTACAAAATACGAAACAATCAGATCTTGTAGACGTAAAGCGACATGAGCACTGTGTAGGAATACTGGTGTGAAGACCAGGGTGGTCAGAGTGCCACCAGCCACGAACATCATGGAGAGCATTGTGAACATATCACCACAAACGGACATCACCTCCAATGCTCAGTTTCATATAGCTAATACAATCTACCCTTTAATGCCGTCCTATTCTCCCCTTTCAAGATATAGTCGATATAGGAAGACCATGGGGAACATATACTACACGCCCAGGGACATTATCTACACTACAGCGACCGTGTTAAAGCACTCAAGGTAACAGCGATGGGGAGAGAACACACGGAACACACTTCAAGGTCTGGTACCCGCTGAGCAACAAGTTACTACAGTGAAGCACGTGACAGCAAGTATGGAAGTGAACAGGTGATAAGTGGGTGTAGCATACAGGGAGACCACCTAACACACAGGCAGGTGAAGGCCAAGATGACCCGTTTAAGGAGGCTCATTCAACCACCTATTTACCCGATCATCGGACCACCTGGGTAAGCTGGGTGACCGGACCACTGCACCTACATACTAACCTCAATTATGAATACAAATACATTCCACTGAGAATCTTTTATGTGGTGATCATATCTTTCCTGTATTCTATCTATCTTCCGGGGACGAAATATTTGCCTAATTTAATTTTCCCTCATAACTGATATACGTGGTATGCTAAGGCATATTCAACATTTTAATGACAGTTTTTAATTTGGCCAACCATGTATACGCCGCTGATGACAATCTATTTGATGTATGCCTCAGGTGACAGGTCTTGAGTGACAACCTGTCTGTCTGCCGACTGTCGGCCGACACTTCCGACGCAGTGATGCCAGGGCTGGAGAAAGTCTTGCCGACAAGCTGTGTTCTCGCCAGCAACTCTTATATTTGTCGGAAATAATGCACTACTGGGCTAAGTTTGGCTAGTTTAGGTAAGCTGAGGTTCACTAGGCTGGGCACTTTATTTCTAGTACAAACATGACTCTTGGCAACCGTGTAGTGAAGCATCAAGATCATACGCAAATGACGATAAAGACGACAACAAAAGATAAATAAAGACGAGAGAGAAGAGAAATACAAAGGAGATAGAAATATATAAAGATATCTCATCAGTTGGGTGCGAGCCGTGTTCGTGACCCAGATGGTGCACGCTCTCTCTCATGGATGCTGCGTATCTTGTCTGAGGGAGGGGGGGGGGGGTGAAGGAACCGGAGATAAATAGGTCACTTAAAAAATTATTATAATTCAATTAGATTATAATTAATTGAAGCGCATGACCTTGGGGAAGCAACTACCTTGAGCATACCCGGAGAAGGTTTCGAGAGTTGTTCTACTCCCCGAGCCCGACCTCAGGCCAGGCTCGATTGAAATACGATTTCAACAAACTGTTCCAGAGATGGTTATTAAAAGCGTGTGAGAACGCGGGCTGGTAAATGAACACGGTCTGGCAAGGCCTTGTTACAAGACCACACACTTCTCCCCCCAGCACCCCCCTCCCCACCTTACACTCCCTATTTAAACATCCTATTATCCCATTTACCTAGACTGTTCTCGTGATGTTCACGTGCTAACTTAGTCCTGCATTAAGGGCTCATAGTCCTTATAGTCTTTGTCCATAGTCCTGTACATTATTCCCAGTACACACCAGTACAGTAACTGATAAGTACTCGATACAGTTGGTGGGGCATTATCAAATTGGTCTAAAAGTCTAGACCATTAATGACTAGATACCAATACCCCGGGCTATGGTACTGCTCAGATACACAATATAGTCTTAAGGCAGATTCCCTTAGAGAAGTAATCTCATAACTTGTTTAATTTATATATATTTATATATTTATTATATATATGTATAATCTGTTAGATTGCTTATTTTGTAAACATGAATCTGAGTCATGAAGCAGTGAAGGTGTTTCCCCTGGTACACACACGTGCAGTTCTAATGCCAGCGGTGCACATGGCCCCCAGCGGTGCACATGGCCCCCAGCGGTGCACATGGCCCCCAGCGGTGCACATGGCCCCCAGCGGTGCACATGGCCCCCAGCGGTGCACATGTCAGTAAATGAAGGTATACTGGCAGTATTCACATGGTAACTTATACTGGATTATGCTCCTAAGATACGTGTACCTTTTGTGAAGTGTCCCAGGATGAGGTAGGATTAATGTCTGGATAAATATATGGATTCCGGAGCGAGTAATGATGCAGGAGGCCTTCCTTGAACATCCCGCCAGGTAATTTGTTCATTAACAGTCGAATACCTCTATTTGGTTTGTATTAATATGACAGTTCCTTAAAACTTATGGAAATAGTTCATAATTGGGGAATTAGAGTTGGGGTAAATGGGAGACGCGGTGTCAAGCTTGAGCTGGACCTCACCTTAAGGCTGGCCCAAGCTGGTGCTTGTTGGAGAAGGAAGGGTGCGTGATTCAGGACTGCTGCCCGTCTGGGGAACTATCATGATTTGAGCAATTCTGATAGTTAGGTTAGGTTGTTGATGTGATTAAGAGTGAGGGTGTGGTTGAGACTTGACCAGCTTACAGGCACAGGGTTGGAGGTGGGGTGGGTGAGGCGCGGGAAGGGATGGGGGGGCCAAGGATGGGGTCGAGACTTACCTTGACCATCTTGGCAGGTGTGGGGTTGTCCCCGAGGTTGATGATAGTGGCGTGGTGTGTGCCCGTCTTGAGGCGCAGGAGGACACGGAGGTTCTCTTGGGAACTTATAACCTCTCTCTTGTGGCTGAGGACCACCGGCCCGTGGACTTCGTCCTCCCCGAAGTACGTCCAATGTTCCTGAGACAACAAGCGCACGTGTTAGTACGTCCCTTTACCACCCCCCACCCCCCACACCATTACGTCCAATGTTCCTGAGACAACAAGCGCACGTGTTAGTACGTCCCTTTACCACCCCCCACCACCCCCTCACCATTAACGGTCTTGCTTATTATTATTAGTCGTAACAATTAGAATTTGTTCATATTCTGTTCTATTTTTATTATGGCAGTCCACTAATACAAAGTTAAACACAGCCTACAGACACGCTCAGCAACGAGGCGCTGTGCACACCCTACACACACATGTTGTGACGCACTCTTAACACCTGCGACAACACCTGCGCTGGCATCATAACACGGAACACATTAAGCAGACCAACACACTAACAAGAACACCCTCTCCAGCGGGAAGGAAGCAAGGAGAGGATCTACACACTTTACCCCCAAGTGTTGCCTCGCACTTTCGTATAGTCAATATTGACTTTTAAATACGTGCATATGTGACATACTAAACATACTAGTTTACCTTGAAAAGCTTCATAGAAAACACCGACCTTACCTAACCTTCTTAGTATGTTAAGATAAGCATCTTATTCCTTTGTAATTACAACTACTACTTAACCTATTAAAGGTATAGGTTAATTAATAATTGTAATTACGAAGCAATAAGATGGTTATCTTAACATACTAAGAAGGTTAGGTAAGGTCGGTGTTTTCTATGAAGCTTTTCAAGGTAAACTAGTATGTTTAGTATGTCACATATGCACGTATTTAATAAGTCAATATTGACTAAAAGTGCGAGAACGGGTTGTACTGGAATGAGAACTCCCTTAATGATGGGCAGTTGTCTCTGATATATCTGTTTTTGTATGGGAAGTCTCCAAGAGTTGCCGCGCCCCCCTGGAGGCAGGTCTGGGGCAGCCCCAGGGAATAGTTCAGTCAAGAAACACGTGTCCGTCAGTGGAGGTGTAACATAACTGGGCAGTTTGGGGCCACATTAAGCGCTGGTGGTCAGAGAGTTAAGGAAAAAGTGCATTGCTTTTCGAATTTTAATGAGGCAACAACTCCTCCATGCATTTAAATTCCACAAGTTCTCATAGATTTCTGTAAACAAACACACATGTACATGGCTACACACGTGTGTGAGGGACAGTATTGCGCACATTTTTAGATTCATGGTAATTACGTGCCCCCCCCCCCCCCCACCATCCCCCTCCTAGAACCATCTCTTGTATCCGCACACCCTCACCTCCCCCCCCCCTCACCACTACTACCAATATCTACAATACTAACCCTCTACCATACGTCAACCATCCTCACCTCCTCTACCAAAAAATATTACCACCACTACCACTCATTTCTGGTCTTACAACAACCATTATTACTAATTCTACGATCATTAAAACACAACCCCCACCATCATTACTACCACAACACGCATCCAATTACTCATAACTTCAACACTGCACTCACCCCCACCATAACCACTTCAACCAGCAACACATTCACTACCACCATTAATACAACAACCAGTCACCCCCGTCTACAGCCTCCACAACAATGCCAATCACCTCAACCACCACGACCATCACTTCTACTAGTATCTGCAATTATTTTTACTATTACCACTAATATTACCATCCCCACCTACCATTACCGGCACCACTGCCACCACCACTGCCAACACAAGCTGCAGGTGTTTATAACATAACAGGTGTCTAGCACCCCCCCCCCTCCCATACCTGGATGTCACACACCTGTCTCACCTTCCCCCCCACCACCACCACCACCACCCGAATGAGGTACAGCAAAGCTGGTCTGGTTGGCGGGGAATAAAGAGCTAGAGGAAATCCACATGAGCCGTGATGAGGATTCGAATCTATGCGCTGGGTATTCCTGCGTGTGTGTGAAGAACTAGACCTCTCTCCCCTCCTCCCCCCCCCCCCAAGAGTACCAGTGTGGTCATGGCCAGGGCTGAGCACTGGAGCGCCCCGGTGCACACGACCACTGGGAGGTAGTGGGGCTCGCACATGAAGGAGGACTTACCTTTATTTTTTGGAGTAAAGAAGATGGAGAGGCGTGGGTGAAGGAAAGTTTATTAGTGGGAAATACAGTGAGAGTTACGAAAGCCGGCGAGGTGTCCGTCTTGCTGATACGATGTACCAACACCCACACATCGTGTCAGCAAGGCGGACAGCCCGCCGGCTTTCATAACTCACTGTATTTCCCACTTCTATACTTTCCTTCACCCATACCTCTCAATGCTCTTTACTCAACAACAAAAAAGAAAATGAGAGAAAAATATTAATGCACATTACTCCACTCACAGGATGAGTGGCGCTGCCCAATAAACTCGCCCCCTCGGGCCAAAATTAAAAAAAAATTTTTTGATCACTCCAGGGAGACCTAGCTACTGCTGGGAACCCCTCGGGCCGCCCCCCCCCCCCACTACCTCCAAACTACTGTACTACAGCCAGGGGGAGGGGGTGGGGGGGGAGGAAGCGTAATGAGGGAGGGAAGAATAGTGTAAAGTATGATGGAACAGGAGGAGGAGGATTGGACATCTTTATTGATGTTCTTATTTTGGTTTCAATTTAATTTGTGCGTTATCTTTTTCTTTTAATCACCAACCTATTCAGTTTCCTCTCGCTGGTACTGCAGGGAGGGATGGGACCGACGCCCCGCGGCCTCCCAACATCAGGATGCTCAGACTCTCCAACATGCATTTGAATATTTCACTGTGCGTGTCGAGTAGGACGCCCGGCGACCTTGGTGGAGTGTGAGGATGTATACGAGGGAGAGGGGGAGATAACGGGTGCCAGGGAACATGTTTGAGTCAACAGAGCAACGGGTAGTGTCAGAGCGCCCCCCCCCCTCCCCCGGAAGTTAAGGTATATCAGGTCAACTGTGACAGTGGCCGTTGACAAGGGTGGCCAACATTCCCACTCAACCCCACCACTCCCCCATCAACCCCACCACTCCCCCATCAACCCCTGCTAAGGTAAACTACTGGTAAAAATCATTAATCTCCCTGAGCCCCCACACATACCCACAGCGCCACTATAGCCCCCCCCTACACATACCCACAGTGCCACTATAGCCCCCCCTACACATACCCACAGTGCCACTATAGCCCCCCCCACACATACCCACAGTGCCACTATAGCCCCCCACACATACCCACAGTGCCACTATAGCCCCCCCACACATACCCACAGTGCCACTATAGCCCCCCCACACATACCCACAGTGCCACTATAGCCCCCCACACATACCCACAGTGCCACTATAGCCCCCCACACATACCCACAGTGCCACTATAGCCCCCCACACATACCCACAGTGCCACTATAGCCCCCCACACACACCCACAGTGCCACTATAGCCCCCCCCACACATACCCACAGTGCCACTATAGCCCCCCACACATACCCACAGTGCCACTATAGCCCCCCCACCCACAGTGCCACTATAGCCCCCCCACACATACCCACAGTGCCACTATAGCCCCCCCACACATACCCACAGTGCCACTATAGCCCCCCCACACATACCCACAGTGCCACTATAGCCCCCCCACACATACCCACAGTGCCACTATAGCCCCCCCACACATACCCACAGTGCCACTATAGCCCCCCCACACATACCCACAGTGCCACTATAGCCCCTTTATATCTACATTTGAGTGAGGTGGGAGGGGTGATGTGGCATTAACACAAGACAGAACAAGAGGGGATATTAATAGGGTATTAAAAGTATCAAACACAAGACAGAACAGAAACAATGGGTATTGAATAGAAGTGTTTGTAGAAAGCCTATTGGTCCATATTTCTTGATGCTTCTATATTGGAGCGGAGTCTTGAGGTGGGTAGAATATATTTGTGCAATAATTGGCTGTTGATTGCTGGTGTTGACTTCTTGATGTGTAGTGCCTCGCAAACGTCAAGCCGCCTGCTATCGCTGTATCTATCGATGATTTCTGTGTTGTTTACTAGGATTTCTAGAAATCCTAGTTTACTAGGTTGTTTACTAGGATTTCTAGAAATCCTAGTAAACAACACAGAAATCATCGATAGATACAGCGATAGCAGGCGGCTTGACGTTTGCGAGGCACTACACATCAAGAAGTCAACACCAGCAATCAACAGCCAATTATTGCACAACTATATTCTACCCACCTCAAGACTCCGCTCCAATATATATAGAAGCATCAAGAAATATGGACCAATAGGCTTTCTACAAACACTTCTATTCAATACCCATTGTTTCTGTTCTGTCTTGTGTTGATACTTTTAATACCCTATTAATATCCCCTCTTGTTCTGTCTTGTGTTAATGCCACATCACCCCTCCCACCTCACTCAAATTGTAGATATAAAATCAGAGATACGTACGTTCTAATCAGTTGTGTATTTGTGAAGTCTTTGAAAATGTAATAAGTTTTACGAAACGCGCCCGTGTCGCGTCAGACTAGAAATAAAAATGAATTTTGGAGAAGTGATTTTTTATTTACCTCCAACAGTGAAGCGTAAGTACGAAAGATTGAGAAAATTCGTGTTAGAATTATTAATCTTACTTTTTCGGTCATATTTAATAATATATGTCTACAGGAAAGACTGCTACCAAAATATACTAATATATATATATTATATATATGTCGTACCTAGTGTAATGACCGCTTACCCTGCCGTAATAACCGCGGCCTTTATTGTAATAACCCGATGTTCCCCAGTATTAATCCTGTTATCTTGTTATCTCTCGTGATCGTAATATACGCTCTCTGTTGTACATCTCTGTCTCTTCACTCAATACCCCAGCTTAACACTGTTACAGTCCAGTATGACCCCTCACTGGACGGCCACGTATGTAAGAGGAATATTAAATGAGGAAGATACACCAAGGACAAGGGTTATTAGTAAAAAAAAAACAATAACAAAACACATTTACACTGCCACCACCTTCCCGACCAACCATACCTGAATGTGTCAATCACCGATCCCCCAGGAAGGCAAGGAAT